GCAGAAATCAATGACTAAATTAAAAGCGGGATAGTGACATCTGTGATTTGGTATGAAAGAAATCTCAAGGGGTGAATAACTCAAGACAAGTGCGACACCAGGGTGCACTAGAAGCACATTCAGAGAGCAGACACCTCTGATCTAACATTAGTAATTTAAAATATTACTCTGTGACAACAATGCTCATTACAACATTACAATACTTTCTCACATGGAAATGTGGAGGCACAGCAATGGATTATTTGCAAACTGACTAACTAAAAATAATATACCCAGTGAAAGTTTTCTCACTAAGCTTCATAAGAAACAGCTAGATTTTACTCAGTCATGCCAACTGCCAAACTTCCTTGGTGGGGGTTATAAAAGCAGAGATTTCATCAGGGGTCGATGTTTGTTGCCCCTGGCAACCTCTCAGCCTCTGAGAAACACATGAGATAAGGAAGGATACTGTCACACATACGGTACATACACAGCTATGTCCCTGTGACCTAGACGAGCTCAAGGAATATCCTACATGTTAAGTAGTTTAACCATAGAAATGCAAAAAGCTGACAGAGCCAGCTACATGGCAGAAAGCAGCAGAGGATGTGTCATGGATTGTACAAGTGTGCCTGTGCAAGTGTGTTTATTCAAAGTCTGGTTTGACAAAACCTGTTCCTGTGAGCTAGCAGAAGTTGACAGCTCATTCCCTGTGATTTTTACACCTACACTACTGTCTTGAACTAACAAACACACACACGGACACACACTGGGCTGCCAGTCTAAATGAGCTTATTTGTGACTCCTCCTTCCAAGGACTTCTTTCAAAACTTCTTAATAGCAATGAACTGGTCTGCATTGGTGCATCATATCTTTATTCTCTTCCCCCCCCTGCCCCCCCCCCCTCTTTCTTAAATAGATAACTATCATATCTGATATCATATCTCACAGTACAATAATATTGAATGGATTGCATTGTTGTATTTTGTCATGTTTCTCAGATTCTTTGTCTGAATTTCTACGAACATTATTGCTAAGGATTGTCTTATTGCATTGGAGTCACACTGGGTTAAATATGTACACTTGGGTTTTAAGGGGTATTTATTATTTTCTTCTTTTTTTTGGGTTGTATGGAAGCCCCAAACGCAATTTCATTGTTCTTGACAATGACAATAAATAAATAAATAAATAAAACAAAGGCTTTGAGTTTACATTTCTAATCCTTGCTGTGAGCTTGATGATCTTACAGCGTTGATGCACAACACCTGAGGCAGACATACAATAGCCCAGTATTTCCTTCACATGGTTTCATACAAAAGCCACATTTAAAAGAAAAGGAACACACACACACACACACACACACACACACACACACACACACACACACAACCTGTCTGGGAGAGCTGGAGCAGAGAGAGTGAGAGAGATGAAGCATGTCCAAGTGTGAGAATGAATTAGGCTGACACCCACACACGTGTATACATATCTGCCTGTTGATTACATCATTTCCCATTACACACATACTTCGGAATCGGAACCTCTTTTTTTTTTTTTCTTCTTTTTTTTTGGTGGAAGTTGTTTAGGCCAATGGGAGTGGACGTTTAAATGGAAGGGAGAAGAAAAGAGAATGACGAAGCGGGTGGTTTTAAGAGTGACTGAGCTGCCCCAGCTGCTTTTTCCTGTGGTACAGGGTTTAGTTACAGAAACTGCTGCTTAGCAAAACAATGAGAATCCTACTTACACTGCTACACCAAGGAAGAAAAGCTAAAGGAATGAAAGACAACTATAAAAATGAATGTAATAAAGTAAAATAAAACCTACAGTAGCAAATTACCCACACCTGACTTCAGATACACTTTAACTGTTATACTAAGCAACTAGTATCAAAAAGAGGAACTAAAAAACAAGAACAGAAACAGAAGTTATTAAGGAACTACTTTAATCTACACTGTGGTTTGTAAAAGCAAAGTTAAAGGCAGGGTTGTGCAACTGTGGTCAAAAAAGGGGAAGACAGGAAAGAGCCTCCATCATGCCCAGAGCTCACAGTTTGACCCCACCTCCCGCTAAGAGTAATTTACACCATTCAGAAGACTTTAACATTTTATTTTGACATCTCTCTTCAGTTTATATCACTTCTCTTTTACACTGTCTGTTGGCATCTTCTTTATTTGGACTACCTTAACTCTGTTGCATCACTGACTCCCACCTTGCTCTCCCCCTAAAGTCTTCTTCAATAGGAGGTTTCGTGTAGCTTTGGGGGAAAGGGGATAGGCGGAGGTCTGTTTTTCTGCTTCTATTTTCTTTCATCCATGCAAACATATAGCTAAGTAGAAATGACAACAGAGTGTGTGGTTTGTGTGTGGTTTTCACTGCTGAGGGAGAGAGAGAGAGACCCAACAGCGAGGAATCCTCTTATAGCAGCCTACGCTCTCCTCTCTTGCCTCTAAGCTAGTGATGTATCCCTCATCTTGCCCCTCCAATTCTCCATCCTCCCGCAGCAAGTGATTAAAATAAGGGTTTTGTTTTTCCTTCCATTTTTAACACTTCCTTTTCTTTCCCCACCACATGCTTTGTTTCAGCTCATCCTGTTACAGTTAGGCAACTCACTTGTAGCCTCCTGCATACAATTAGCTTGATTTTCAAGTGCTACATATAATGGCATTTATAAGTACAAAATACAGCTTAACCCATGCCATGCCTGTGTGTGCAAAAGATACAGAATAAAAAAAAAAATGGAAGAGACTGCAACAGTTTTCACCACTCAAATTGCCAGGAAATTTCATGAGCCCTCTGGCACAAACGACTGTCCATGATGCCAGATGACAGCAGAGCCTGCACGATCTTTCTGCTCCATGACCTGCTGTGCTTCATTGTCAAAAAGCATTAAGAGCCCTAAGACACTTGCAGCCATGGGTGCCACACATCAACAAGCCTAAACTTGTGTCTGCGCGCGCACACACACACACACACACACACACACACACACACACACACACACACACACACACACACACACACACACACACACGACATTACACTGACAGGGCACCCAACCAACAAACCCTAGGCACAGCCTCCGCCTAAGGTCATAGGTAAACACACACACACATATGGTAAGCAAAGGACAACAACGAATTAAACGCTAAAACAAAAAACTGCCACAACAGCAGAAGCCTTTTTTTGCGAAGGTCACAGAGAAGTAAAACGAGCAGCTTTAAACTTCGAGTACTTCGAGCACGTACTCTCAAGGCTCTGTGGCTTCACACCAGCCCCCCCTATACAGGAAGCCCCAGAACAGGACGAGTGGTGTGGAGAAAAGCTGCATCACATGACAGCTATTAGAAAAATCCCAACAACGCATTATCCAATATGCCCGTCTGTGGTGGTTTCTCTTCCCCTGTCACGAACACAAATCACCTGAGGAATAACAAGTGCACACACCTGCTACCAAACAGGATAAAGACAGGTACAAAGTCTGCCTCCACGACTGATGGGACAGAAGCAAAATGGTAGCAAAGAATATGTCGTTACTATGATAAGTTGGAAAGCCCCCCCGCCTGCTGTGTCATATCATATTATTTAGTTGATTTAAGTAGGATCCTACCTGTTTCTGGGCGCTGCTAACCAGCTAGTCTCACACCCTCAATATTGGTTATACACCTTCTTTTTTTTAAAAAACAAAACAAAAAACCCCGAGAATTTCTGTCCCGGTGAACTGTTAGCGCAATGGAAAAATTACATTAGCTTTCTCCCGCCGTTCACTTCAGAGCATTTTTTTAGCCCGTATGAGCCAGAGACCTAAAATTAATCCCGAGCCGTCACACTCTCTCTACATCGCCTTGCTGAATGACTTCGAGCTGTCACTACGGTTGCTTACAGATTAGCTAGTTAGCTGGCTCAGCTAAGGGGCGACTCTAGGCAAACTGAGGAAGTTGCTGTTTACTTACTGGCATGCTATCTGTCAGCTTCCTGCTATCACCGTCCTCCGTCGTTCCGCTAGGACGAGTAAACGGCTATCACTTCGCTACTCCATAAATCTCCTCAATAATTCAACAACATCACCTCCTTCCATCTTCATTACTTTCTCCACTCAGACTACCTTTTAGAGAAGAGGACGCGCTCTACACTGAATGCCAGGCTTCTCAGCCAATAAGAGAGAAGTATATAATCCAATTGCCGCACGCCCAACTAAACCATCCAATCAAATTAGACACGAGGACCGCAAGTTAATAATTTCCACGATCACGGTAGGTTGTCCCAGTCAGTCGCCGCTCTCTGACAGCCAAGTGATTTGTTAAATCTGCTATTAATGAAGATTTGTATGTATAAGAAAACATACAGTTTGCAGGATATTAATTATCGATTTTGATTATTTACTAAATATATGAATGTTAATGAGTAAACTATAAAAATATCCAGTTACCATTTTTAACCATTATATTTCACTAAAATTGGGTCCACGGCCTATATTCAAGATTTTGCTCTATTTGATCCTCGTTCTTTTTATTTGCCGAGTATTTTCATAAAAAAGGAAGTGTTGGTGTTGCTTCTCTTTTACATCACACTTTACACCTAATTAATCCAAAGCCAAAGACAGAAACACTGCTCCAAAACTGTCCCTCTCTGGTAAACAATAAATGACCATGTGACAATAGCCTTTAGAACAATGGATTTTTGGAAATTAATTATCAACATGGCATATGACCATGTGTTGGTGGGCTTTTAGGTTAATAACAGTGGGAAAGTTGCGGTTTTTAATCAGTTAATAGAAGTCTGTATATTGAAACAGTAAAACATCCCACGCACAATCACGACAAACCTCCAGTTTAGTTTTCAGCTGCTGTTGCAGTGAGCTTTCATGTCATATCATGTCAGCTCTGTCATGTCTGGAAAACATACCAGCCATGAAGTTCGCAATCTGTTAAAGCAGAGTCCAGGCAGAGTTGTGGGAAAGCTTCGTAGAAATCAGTGAACCTATTCTGGTAAAAGTCACACACACACACACAAAGTAGTGGCACGTTTATAAATTTAATTCTGGAGTTCAGACAAGCTTTGTCATTGCGGTGCTATTTCTAAAAGTCTGATGAGGATGAAACGATGAGCGGTTGTTAGATAAAAGTGAAGCGGCATTGCCCCCTAATGTTGGCTAGGGAAATTACATGTATTCGAGAAAAGGGGACCTGCAGTGCTCATTTTCAACTGCACAAGTTGCCAATTCTACAGCGCTCATACATCCTCATACCACCAGAGATGCAGACTTTTGAACTGAGCACTGGTAACAATTGTCTCTTTAGTCCAGAGGATGGCGCTTTCCTGTTTTTGATTTGATTTGTCTGACCACATTGCCTCAGTCCAGGTTAAGTGCCTCAGGAAAGACAGCAGGGTTTTTTGATCATGTTCACATATGGCTTCTTCTTTGCATGATACGCCTTTAACTTAAATTTGTGAATGACATGGCAACGCATGTTTACAGACAATAATTTCTAGAAGTGTTTCATGAGCCCATGTAGTGATTTCCATGACAGGACTGTGCGTTTAATCCCGTGCATTCAGATTTTCAGCCTTGTCTCTTGTGCACAGAGATTTGTCCAGATTCTCTGAAACCTTTGATGGCATTATGCACTGTAGATACACAGATATATTCAAAGTCTTCACAATTTACATTGAAGAACATCATCAAAGCTAAATCTAAAAGAAAAAAAATTCTAAAATGGAATATTTAACACAGTTTGAAGCTTGAGCTTTTGGCTTTTACACAGTTACACACATCGAGAGTTCATTATTAGAACCTTAAACCAGGTTAAGTATGAGCATCTACCACTCTAACAATACATATGACAGAATGTAATGACGCAAAATAAAAAACCCCACTTTAAACCTATTTAAAGTGTTAGAATACGTTTCTATTATAATCAAATAATAAAAGGAGATATGACAGTCTTGATACGATTGGTGGGGATATTTATGGAGATAACCCATGGAAATGCTGTATTTCCGCATTGCTGTCGGTTAAAACAAAACTTTTAGAAAGATATGTGCACTACAGTTGAGCCCCTGCTATCTGTGCAGCCTCAGTGAGAACTGCCGTGGCCTGTTGTCTGTATCCTTGAGACAACTCTTTGGCCCTCCTCACTTCCCTCATGTTCTCCTCCAGGTTCTCACTAAGTCTCCCTTGTTCTTGGTAAGTTTCTGCTGCCTTCTTCACTTGCTCAGCCATTTTATCATGGCTACGGAGCAACCAGCCGATAAGCTCTTGAAGGGTGGTCCCCTTTGAAATGGTCATCCTGGTGCTGTCAGAAGCACCCTTCAGTTCGTTCTGAGCCCTCTGCAGACATGGAGGAAGCGGTTTCCCCTCACCTGCGCCCTCAGACCACACAGGAACCGCACTGAGGAAGAAGTCGTAGCCCTTCATTTTAAGAGAGACCTGGTATGTTGGTTCTGGAAGTACATGAGTTTTTAAAAAATGGGGGAGGGAGTGAGGCATCAGCTACCATGAAGCGTGTGTTAAAAAGTATGTGTCACTCACCCTGCTCCTCTCTAATCTTCCCCAAACACTGAACAAAAGCAAGGGTGTCATCATGGGAACAGTCACAGCTCTGCTGGAGGTTTCTTATATGCTGCACCATGGCCTCGTAGCCTTCCTGCTGCTTGTTGAAGGTCTCAGCCATCTCCAAAAACCTCTGATCCAGCTCAGGCACGCACACTCGCCTCATCACCAGCCGTCCAATCCGTCTCACAGTCTGTGCATCTGAGTAGAAAAAAAGAAAAAAGAAAGCACGAGTAACACAGCAAGAAAAACAGGTGGATCAAATTCATCTGTCATTTTTATAAGTATTAAAAAAAAGTCTGAGATGACTTGCCGCTGTCCGCTGATGAACGGCTCAGCCTGGCGGATTCAGCACTATTGACTTCAGAGCGTCGGGAATCCAGGAGAGGCCGTCTCTGAAACAGCGAAAGTTGGTTTTATTTACATAGTGTTTTTCTTTTCTTCTTCTTGTGCCACAAATATTAGGCATATTTGATCACGTGTACCAGTGCAACGATGTGATCATAAACTCAGCTTCAATATTATAATAATTATGTTTCAAATCCCCAACAAAAGTAGATTATTAGGTGAAGACCCAGTAATGCTACATTACAGCAGTTAAGAGGATCCCATCATTTTACTTGCAATGGAAAAATCGAGCGAAGCGAAGCTGTATAGTTTCCTTGCTAAACTCTAAGGAAGCCACTTTACGCTCTTATAAAGACACCATAAAACCCAGTGCAGCGCATAAACACATACCTCATTGTTGTTGGAGTTATCGCCAGAGAAGCAGCAACAGCATAAACGGAACATTTTCTGCGGCTCTGTGGCCTCTCAGTTTGTTTTCAGGTCACTTATTTCTAACAAGGCAATTGTAGTCCGCATTCTCCGTGACGTCAGCGTCATGAGAGTCGAGGAAAGAAAAGCTTCCTGGTTTTGTATTTTACATTGTTGTACAGATAAGAATTCAACAGGTGCAACGACAGGTGAGCTACTACAGCGCATGCGCTTTGCGGTGCTTTGCATGCCGCAAAGCTGAAGCAGCTTTGATATGCCTGTCCGATAGGATATAAAACTACAGTTTTGTTCTGAATAACAGAGTTCGCAGAAATATACAGTTAATATACAGCTAAAGTCCAACCAGAGCAATAACTAGTGCAGTAAACAAACACCCTGACTAAAAAAACCCCCCCTATATTATAATTAGTCCACAACCTATTATAACCTATATATATCGTCCCACCTATTCTGGAGACACCGATGACTGTAAGAAACAGCCTTTTCTACAGTCACTCGGAGACACTGACATATTATTCATCCAGGTGAAATTAGCTGTATCCCAACTGTACTATAGAGCTATAGAGAAACTTTTATGTTTTATTCACACCTGCTGTTTATGAAAACCAAAGGGAACTGCTGGGCTTATTTCACAACTCTTCTTGGTCTCAGAGTTGTAATACAATTTATGTCCAGGCTACAGGGGGCAGCATTACGACATTCTGTGCAGACCACAGAAGAAGGCGAAAAAGACGGAAAAAGAAGAAGCAGAAGAAGAGCATCACAACAACCAGAAAAAAATTGAGTTCTAGCTACACGAATGAACAATTAAGCTAACACGTTGTGCTTATTTGTTTTGTTTTTTAACCCCTGGCAGACAAATTAATTTATCCATATGTAGAAGCCGCCGTGAAGTTGTCGGCCTTTAAATTCATACATTCACAACAAGCTGCTGTCGGGGTTTGCAGGCAAACTGCCTGTAGCTAAGCGACAACAAAGAGACTACAGCTGTACGCTGTAGTCATACTGTTAGCGTTGGTGCCAAAATCCTTCATTTTTTCCTTCGTTTTCCGTCAAGTAGTCAGACTGACATGACGGGGATGGCTTCTCCAGAGAAGGCGTCAAGCTCAAAAAAGAAGGGCGAGAGAAAGTGTGCCACCAAAGAGGAGTACAGGCAACTGTCCAGCATCATGGGAGTCATGAACAATTTGAGAAAACAGGTGTGAGTGTGTGTGCGGGAGAGAGAGAGGGAACACGAACCAAAAGTACCAGGCTGAATATCTTTAAGAGGGCTTTACATTAGGCATTTCCTCTGTTCTGACACCTGATTACTGCGTGTGATTTGCAGGGTACTCTCTGTGATGTGACCCTGGTGGTTCAGGGAAAGCACTTCCCAGCCCACCGAGTGGTGCTTGCTGCTGCCAGCCACTTCTTTAGCCTCATGTTCACCAGTAAGTCTGACAAACACAAATCAAGACCAATGGCGGCATATTGGGGGAGCAAGAGTGTGATTTCTTATTATATTTTAGAAGGTAGTAGATGCAGATGTATGTTGCATAAATAATGAGAATTGTGGATTCCTGTTTTTGGCTTTTAAAAGTTGAATGAGCAAAAGGAAAGAAATTTAAATGTAAAAGTATATGCCAGGCGAGCATGTACTGCATCGCCACACCCCAAAGGCTGTGTCCTCACTGCAGAAAAACTGAATATTTTACTTAGTGTCATCTGCCCACTCCTAATCTAATAAAGGCAAACATAGGAATTAGTCTATTTAAGTAATTACATTGATTGTGTGTTTCTCAATAAAGATGGCACAAAAGCTGAAAGTTTATAACCACCCCTATAACGATTACTATGTATTTTTATGCATAATCTATTTATTACTGCTTCCCATCTTGACACACCGACAGTGATGTTGTCATATAGTGCTAGTACACTTGTTATATTTGTGTTTGTTATATTTTCTTCACTTCTAGCCAGAATGATGGAGTCAATGTCCCATGAGGTGGAGCTCAGGAGTGCTGAGCCTGAGATTATTGAGCTGCTGATTGAATTTATCTACACTGCAAGGTAAGAATTGTGTATCAAATTAATTATTACAGATAAAAAAAACAGAAGCATTTTTATTGAGAGAGGCATGTTTGTTTTTTGTTTGTGTGTGTGTCAGAATCTCCGTGAACAGCAGTAATGTCCAGTCACTGCTGGATGCAGCCAATCAGTATCAGATTGAACCTGTGAAGAGGATGTGTGTGGAATTCCTTAAAGGACAGATTGATGCAACAAACTGCCTAGGTGATTGCACAAATACAAATACAGACCTTCCATTTGTGTTACACATGATATTTACTTACTCTTGTTCTGTTCTCCTGTAGGCATTTCAGCCCTTGCAGACTGCATGGACTGTCCAGAGCTGAAGGTGGCTGCAGATGATTTTTTTCAGATTCACTTCACTGAAGTCTATAAATTGGATGAATTTCTGCAACTGGATGTTGCGCAGCTCACACATCTGCTGCACCAGGACAAACTCACCGTCCGTGCTGAGGCCCAGGTACGCGTGTATACATCCTTTAAATATATTTGTGCCAAAGAAGACGTCTGTCACCAAAAATTTGTTAACATGTTCTTCTGTTGCGTTGTGCTCAGATTTATGATGCTGCAGTGCGCTGGCTGAAGTATGATGTGTGTAACAGAAAGCAGTACATGGTGGAGGTGTTGGGGTGTGTTCGCTTTCCACTGGTTTCCAAAACATTCCTCTCCAAGACTGTCCAGGCCGAGCCCCTCATCCAGGACAATCCACAGTGCCTCAAGATGGTCATCGGTGAGCAGGAAGAGTCAAAAACACGTGCACGCATGTACAAATTCTACATTTCAAGTGAACAAAATGAGCAGACAAAGTTACCGGTAACTGTCTCGTTCATGTCGATGGACAAAAAAAGCACAAGCAGTTCACACTGGCAAAAAAAAGGTTTTAAGGATGTTTTATAAATGCATTAAAGGAGTAATATCTCATTTATATGTAAGTATTTAGACTTCTCGTGCGGCACCCTTGGGTCCAGTCTACTTGGAATTATCCTAGAGCCCTTGCTTTTGGAAGTTTCTCTAATTTTTTTCAGCAGAATTGTTCAGAAGGTTAGTTGCTCAGTGACTTCTTTCCCCAAAACACTGCACTTACTGTATCTGGTGCTTTTTGGTGAACTCCCTGCAGGCCTACTCTTGAGGTCTTAGCCACCTGTTTAACTAAGACGCTCTGTTTCACATTACTCAGGAAGCCTGTTAGTTATTCCAAATTTCTTCAATTTAAGCATGGCTGAGGCTGCTTTTAGTGCTTTAAAAATATTTGTAATCCATCCCCAGATCTATACTTTGGCACAGTCCTGTCTCACAGGTCTGCGGAAAGTTCAACTCAACTTCACCTCTTTGTTTTCAGACGGGTGTGAGTCTTTAGTAATTGTGTCCAGTCCAATTATTATATTGGTTGTAGAGGGACGAGTTAAACTGTATAAACCACTAACAGGTAGATTGCACCAGAGCTCATAATACGGGATCTGAATAATTCGGTAAATGGGAAATTTCGTAACTCTTTCCTTTTACTTTGTCATTGTGGATTATTGCATTTTGATTAATTGTGGAAAATAAATTCACTCCAATTTTATCCAAGTCTAACACCCTCTAAAACAAAATGTGAAATACTTGAAAGACTTGCCCTGGAGTCGTAGAAGTGCTGGATCTTAATCTAAATGATCTACATTCGACATTATTATGATAGCAAAAGATAGATGTATAACATATATTGGGTATTTCATTACCTCAAAGGGCTGCTCGCTTTACTTGAGCACGCACACAAAACAAAATAACCAGTGCTTTTCTCCAAGGTGGGATGCGTTACCACTTGCTCTCCCTGGAAGACCGTGAAGACCTGGGAGAGAGCAGTCGGCCACGACGCAAGAAGCACGACTACCGCATTGCTCTGTTTGGCGGCTCACAGCCTCAGTCCTGCCGCTACTTTAACCCGAAGGTACCGGGCTGCAAATGCTAATGAGTTATAGTCACAGGGGCAATCACACCAAAGAACAATTAAAGGGAGTGCAGATATGTGCTCTTGAGTATTACAGTATAATTAATAAGCTAAAGATAAGATTGTTTGTTTTTGTTTTTTTTAAGGTTTTAATTTTACAGGCACCTAATCTGTTCTTTGGTTCACAAAACACTCTATGAGACTTGAGTTTAGTCAGGTCTGTTGAAATCATATTTGGGAATGTTTACAATGGTTTTCCATACAGGACTCTAGCTGGACTGACATCCGCTGCCCCTTTGAAAAGCGCCGTGACGCCACAGCTATCTTCTGGGACAATGTGGTTTACATTTTGGGTGGCTCACAGCTCTTTCCCATCAAGCGTATGGACTGCTACAACGTCCTGAAGGACAGCTGGTACTCCAAGCTGGGTCCACCCACACCTCGCGACAGTCTGGCTGCCTGCGCTGCCCAGGGAAAGATCTATACATCTGGGGGATCAGAAGTAGGTAAGCATGAAGTGAGGGGAGAAAAGATTTAAAAATGAGAGACTCTGGGATCTTGTGCAACTACCCAAAGAGATGCAGACATGTGATGGGGAAAGTAAGCTGGTTTGTGCTACTATTATTACATTCTCTAAAAAAGTAGGAACATTTAAATAGTAAAGATGTCTTGTTAAAGCATAGATAATGATTTCTTCACGGTTGACCGACCACCAACATGTGCCTACAGGCAGCTCAGCCCTGGACCTTTTCGAATGCTACGACACCAGGACAGAGTCATGGCAGATTAAAACAAGTATGCTGATGGCGCGCTGCAGCCATGGATCCGTGGAGGCCAACGGGCTCATTTATGTTTGTGGAGGAACGGTGGGGAACAATGTCTCTGGCAGAGTGCTCAACAACTGTGAGGTCTACGACCCCAACACGCAACAGTGAGTCAACAAACATTTAACATACAACGCTTCTTAATGTGCCCATTTAAAGTGCCATTGGCCTGTTCCACTCAATTTTTGCCTTTCACAGATGGAGGGAGTTATGTGGGATGAGAGAGGCCAGGAAGAACCACGGACTGGTGGTTGTAAACAACAGGATATATGCTGTTGGAGGGCAGGGAGCAATAGGTAATTCATCGTCCCCCCAGATTTTTATACCGCCCATCCACTCCCCGTCATTTTTTTCCTACCTTCAGTGGCCCTAATATGCAATCATATGCACAACTGTCTGTGTGTGTGTTTCTAGGTGGACTGGACTCGGTTGAATACTATGATATTGCAACTAACGAGTGGCGTGGCGCTTCACCTATGCCGTGGCGAGGTGTAACTGTGAAGTGTGCGGCAGTTGGTGATATCATCTATGTGCTGGCAGGATTCCAAGGAGTGGGACGCCTTGGACACGCCCTGGAATACCACACTGATACTGACAGGTTGGGTTATTAACTGAATACTACCCAAATAATACAATTTGATTGATACTGCTGAAGAGTCTTTATCAGTAGTATGTGAACACCGCATGACCACCTTCTTCATTGACATTTTCATTAAATTTTCAGGTCTGGCTATTTCATTCATTAATTCCTTAGTTGTTTTTGGTGGTTACTGTAGCTGGGTATATATTGCTAATAGGTATAATAGCGTATTAGCTAATAATCATACTAGTAAAAAAATACTCATAAACATGCTGTCAAACCATTTGAGTTGCATTTCTTCACAAAACATTGTTCAATTCAGTCACCTGGGCAACGCAGGCTGTAAATCTATACAGTTAAGTAGTAACTTGTTTAAACGCTGAATCGAAATATTCTGATTTTCTTCTTCGCTCAGGTGGGTGACTTGCAACAAGGTGCGAGCGTTTCCCGTCACAAGCTGCCTGATTTGTGTGGTCGACACCTGCGGAGTCAACGAAGACGAAGACATGGACCTCATAGACTCTCAGCCACATGCTGCAGCCACTGCCGCATCATCTTCCTCAGCCTCATCATCCTCATAGCAGTAGAGGTAGTTTAAGCGTACTCGTATATTGAGTTGTGATGCTTGTCGACAGTTCTGACAGCCAGTCAACTGATTTCTGTGGGCTTGTTTTTCAGAAAGGAGCTCATAGTAAGGGTTAGGCTGTAAAGTGGTTATGTTCTTTAACCAGTGAAGTAGGCAGTTTCCTTTTGGCTACTCCAAAATTTTATGTCCTAATTCTTTGGGCTGGACACTAGTTTCATCTATCCATTCTCTGGATAGGTAGTAGGATTTAAAATTTGGGATTTAGATATTCATCTGAAGGCCTGTTAAAAAGCCTGCCAACAACTCTACTGCTGTCACACTGTTGACCTGTCTCTACCTACTGCTCAGTGAATGGCAGCAACAGTGAGAGAGCAGCAGGACTCGGTGATGAGCTGTGGGTAGTTTTTGTTTGCATCTTGTTGCCCAGACAGGCTCTGTGTTCTGGATGAGAGAAATGTTGCTTCTAACTTTGGTCTTTGAATGTTTTAATTGACATATAAACGTAGCTGAAATACGTGGGTTTATGTAAGGTCATTTTTGTTTGATGTTGTATGGATGGATGGATCCAGTAATTCATTGGACAAACTGTAACCGTGCCTCCGTACATAACTCCAGTATTTTTTGAATTAGACAATCAAGATGATCAGACTGGCAGCTATAATTCAGAGGGGTTTACATTTTCATACATTGGAGCCTCTGAAAATGGCAGCCTAAGTAATTAACGTCTTTTAGTGATGCTTTTTCAGGTGTGACAGCAGCAACAAATGCTAGTTACCGTAAATGGCAGATGGCAGAAACTTTAGGAGTAAAGTTTCTGCCATCTCTCTGATAGGTGTATTTTGGTGTTTCTGGATACTTCACTAGTATGAACATCTCTTTGGGCCTCATTATGTAAAAACAGTGAAGAGTTATAAAATACAAATGTTGAGACTTTGAATCAACTTTAGATATAATGACTGTGTCACATGTCATGAAATTGAAATGGAACAGGGCTCATCTAGTGATGAAACTAGATGATCGCCAATTGTCCAATTACTTTTTGAACCTCTAAAAAAATGGGGGACTGCGCAAAAAAAAAAAAAAATGCAATACCAAAACAGTTAATGCAAACTTTTTGTTAAACCCCCTGAATTAAACCTGAAGGCTTGAGCCTCAGTCACATCTTGATTATTTGATTTATGTGGTGGTAGTGGTGTGCAGGAGCAAAAGTACATAAATTGTTTCTTTATCCAACAAATTATGGACCTAACTGTAATTTTAAACACTTTTCTTTCTTTTTCAGTGCTCAGAAAATAGCATTTGAGGGACATGTGCAAATTTTCAAGGGCCAGCGGGAAGTTTTCCCAAATTCATCGAAAAAAAAAGTTCTTATGCTTTTTAATGTTTTTCTTAGTTTATGTGGTTTACTCTGTTCGCTTATCTTTTTATCACTTCTGTAGTTTGTCTGCTTACAGGAAGGTCCTGTCAATTCAAACCCAGGACCTTCTTGCTGTGAGGGGACAGTGCTAGCCATTGAACTGCTGTGTGAGCATTTCATATTGTATATTCACATGTCATTTTCTTGTTACGATGTAACTTTTTTGCTGTTTGAATTTAATGTGTGTAAATCAGTTTGTGAAAGAAAAACCAGTCAAATATTGGCTGGGTTTATATTTTATTTTATTTGGTTTGGTCCTTATACAAAACACTGTAAAATTAGATTTTTTTATAGGCTGTAAAATATTCTGTGTCAAAGTGTAGATACAGCATCTGTAAGTACTTAACTCTTGGCTGTGTGCTGATTTAACACTAGTGTAGCATCTTACTGTTCAGTAGCTTTGTGTTGTGCCTTTAAAGAGAAAGCGTTAACATTTTATTCTTAGCTATAAGCAGTTACAATTAAAACACATAGCTCAATGTGATGGTTTACAAAACACGTTTCCATTCCTTTTCAAATACAAATATGATTAAAAATATAAGAGCACCAAGTTAGTAAAACATAAGGCAGCTGCAATGAAATGAAGAAAATGTAAGATTTTATAAAATGCTCCAGACTTTTTCATTAGCTGCCATACAACTTTCTGCTCATGTTACTGACAACTGTTTAAATGTTGTGCTCGAATATGTAAATAAAACTGGGAAGCTGAAAACAAGTGCATTCATTAGAGTAAGATTACTTTGATAAAAGCTCATGATGCATAATGATGCTAAAATTGTGTAATTTGTGGAAAAACTGATGTTCTGATATGAACGTATGTCTTTACAGACATTACTCAAGATGGCAATGCACAATTAAACATTATGACTAGAGGAAGTTAAATTAGTGCAACATACACAGTGGTAAACATTAAGAGCTGTCATTTTTCCCTGAGCAACTGTTGTAAACCACTGACTGGCCTTCCTTAATTTGGCCCCCGAGCAAGTGTTTTTTATCCATCTGTTAATTTTTCTGTCTCCCTATCAATAATCCTCATCGTCATCATCAGACTCTTCCTCGCTCATAAGGAGAGCAAACCGGTTGTTTATCTCATTAGCATCTCTCCCCCCTCCCTGAGCTCCTCTTCCTCTTCCACCTCTCCCTCTTCTTCCTCTTCCTCTTCCTCTCCCTCCCTGCCCTCTGCCTCTCCCCCTCCTTCCTGATTCTGAGGATGAGTGAGTGGCTTTGGAACTGCAGTTCCTCATAGCATTCAGCAGGGAGGAGTAGAGCTGCGCAGACAAAGATCCCCCAGGCAGCAGAGACTCAGCATTTCGGCCTCCTTTCAGATACCTGACGAGGCCGTGCACCAGCGTACCACTGAACAACCTGAGAGACAGAGGGAGTGAGAACAAGGCAACAAAGATGCAAAAATGTACTCTAAAAAAATACTCTTTACCATCGTGGTATAACTGTGGACAGATATCACATATAATTATTATCATCCCATTTGTGTAAGCTTAGCAGAAAAACCCCAAACTCACTTCAAATGTAATTAAAGCTTTCTACATGTAAATCTAGAGATAATTCTCTTTTTCCTTGCCAGCTCCTGTTTGTTGGTTGCACCTCTAGTTCTAATGCATACAGAGTACCATTTTCTTTTACTGTATGTCCCTGACATACAGTACTTACCATGAGAGATGAGGTTCTGGCAGCGGCAGCAGCAGTAGCTGATTTAGACAAAGTGCACTCCAAAGGCAGGCCTGCCATTGGCTGAAACTGTGAGCCATTCCAATATCTACTCCCCGTCTCTCACCTGGTCTCACACGTTGTCGATCCAGCCCTGCACACACTTTATGTTCCAGAGCCCAGTTTGGCTGCGGGACTGCAGTGTTGAAAGCAAATACAAGCTTTTAGGTAATGGCAAGAAAAATGAAAGGTTGGCATGTTACTAAGGCATATTAGTCTTTTTAACCATGTCGAAGAAACCAGGAGGGATACAATCCAACTAACCAGTGTGTTGATAGTGGATAGCTCCAAGCTGTGTGTTCAAGAAGACCTCTCCATAAACCATGCCTAGGACCAAAGCTTGCACCTGGGGCTGTGAGGGTGTCGGTGTGGCCTCTCGAAACCAGAATCCTGTCACAGCTACAGGCAGCTGCAGGTGGAAAGGAACGGAAACTAAGGCTGACTGGTTCACGCCCAAAACTTGTAACAGGGCACCAAGTCGGACTGCTGCAGGAGCCTGGAACAAAAATATTGAAAAATACAATCAGATCATGTGGAAAACTTCTAACTCCAGACAAATGCAAAACAAATACTGATTCTGAAAAATGTTTACCTGACCAAGTCCAGCCAGGTGTACATGGTTTCTGAGTGGGACTGCCTCCACTTCCATCTTCTTCAAGTTCAGGTCCAAGCGATCATACTCTTCCACAGAAATGGGAGCACCCTGAGCCTGGACTGTTGATGACCCAGCTGCTTGTTCCTTGCTGAATGCTGCATTTATGCTCTGACCCCTACCTCCACACCCCCTTCCTCCTCGTCCTCTCCCACCTCTCATTCCCTGTCTGTTTTCTTGCATCCTCATATCTTGTATTTCACCTCCTGGCCCCTTCATTGACTGTGTACCACCAACTCTTCCTTCAGTTACATTATCTTGAGATCTGTGCAGTAATATCCCATATACAGCCTGCCGAATGGCTCTAGAACTACAGTGGCTGCTAGCTAGTTTACTGTTCTCCACCTGCGGGATGAGAAGGACCCTGCGCATCACCAAAGCATCAAGCACCAAGGGAGGAAGCCGACCCTGAAGTGCTGCTGTCGACAGGCACTCCGGCAGCTGTGCCGGCCCAGAGGTCTGCCCTCCCTGAAATGCCTTACCTCCAGAAAACCAGCGGGCCACAGAGCTCGGAGCCTTGATATGGTACTCCTGCATACATGCCAGCAGCTTGGATGCGAGACCACCCTTCTGCCCTCTTTTGCCCTTACAAGCTTCCTCCCCCATTAGGCTGCTCACTTCTTCTAAGGCCTCAGTCACAGTTTTAAAAGAGGACAGCCAAAGAAGGAGGCCTTCAATACGAGAAGGGGGTGATCTACCTTTACCCCTGCCGCCACCTCTCCTTAACAGACTTGCATCTAACAGAGAAAGAAGGGTTTCAGTATCTTTTGGAGTTCCGTAGTCATTTCCAGTCAGAACAGCACATAAAGGGAGCAACTCGGGGTTCATGCCCCCGAACATGCGACACAGGCCTGCAGTGGTGTAGCAGCGAGCTAAGATGTAGCGTTGCGAGGCTTTACCGTTAAGGTTGGTCCACTGGAAAAAACGGAATGGCAGATAACCTCCTAAGATCAGAAAACAATTGAGATAGATACCACATGAGAAAATACATACTGCAAAATACTGTTACCACCAAAGAGCTATTTTGCATCTATGTTAAAGTCCAGAGACTATCCACACCTGGAAGGTCAAAGATATAAAAGTCACTGTCATTTGTCAGCACTGGGCATTTCCACTCTTGTGCCAAGCACGCAATCTCCCAGTCAGCCTCAGCTGGACACTGGATGAGCGGGACTCCACTCTGGATGAGGACCTGAATGAAGACGTCTCTTGTAAGAATGGGGAGAACAGAGCCATTGCGGCCGTGAGAGAGGTTGTCTGCCTCTTTTATCTTGGACTGCAGGCGCTGGCGTAGAGTATCAAACTTCTTGTTACTGGGGTCCATCCCTAATAATAATAAAAAGATAGGAAAACAGATGTTTGCAGGTGTTATAGCATTATTTAATGTGAAAAGTGGTTTTTGCTTTAGGTTTGTGCAGATTAAAGATATAAGCAACAAAAGCATTCATGAAAAGGTAAAGGATAAAAAAATCTAATATAGTTCAATGATATAATGATTTAATAAGCAGACCTATTTGTTATTACAATGAAAAGCAATATAAAGATGACTGAAGTTAAGATGTCCTATTGAAATTAAGGGGAATGTTTACTAAATGAGGTGAGTACTTAAATTGAAGATATTAGATGATGTTGTACCCAAATACAGAGAACTTTAAAAAAAAGAAGAAAAAGAATAAAAAGAAAAAGAAATAATGTAAGCTGTCCCCTTTTTTAAATGTCTAGAAAAGTACATACTTGAAACATCCTAACTTGACGGCCTTGTATAAAGCATCTTTACCTCCATCCAGAACCACATATGGCTGGATGTTACAGGTTGCCAGTGCAGTGAGGAACTGGGCGAGCAGGGAAGCAAAGGCATCGTAGTCCCCTCCGTGCAGCTGATCCAATCCGTGGCTAAAGTACAGGCGGAAATAAAGACTGCAGCCATCGATAACGAGCCGACTGTCCCTAAACTTCACATCTTGTAGGAAGTGTCTGTTCCCCTCTACAAAGGTCGTCAGACCATGGACACCCATTACATCTCAGGGCGTGGACGAGTTCCTAGAGTGAAATGATGTATAAGATAATGGTACTCACGATGGTTAAAATGCACGAAAGACAGTTTCTGTGCAATCATGCAATAAACGGAAGGTAACTGCCAGAAAATGACAGGAGTCACAGTTCGCTCCAATGTGAAGTAAGAGACACAGAGACTGTCGGCTGGAAAATTAAGACTCATCGGAAGTTATTGCAACATAAAACTATGAGTAACTGACGACAAATGACATCCAGAATCAGCCGTATTTAGTAGAGCAGTAAATGTTTACGAGTTTTACTAACCAATGACACTTTCTTCTCTTTACTTGCTCGAGTGTTTTTCTGTCTTGCGCAGTTCCGTCCTTGTACTTCAAAATAAAGTTCCCGGCTAGTAACAAACGTGTGTATTCCTCTGTAAACACGATAATATCTAATTTTCCTCTATATAAAAAATCAGCAAAGAACACGCGCAAATAAAGCCACAACACTGAATAATGACAGTTAAATTTTAATTAATTTGAAAAGCCTTACGCTAAATTGCGTTTGCGTTCTCGCGAGGGAACACGAGAACGCAAACGCTAGCGAGGGCGCTAGCCAGTTTTGTTCTCACGTTTGAAAAATAATTACGTTTTATTACGACCACAATGTCCGGAGGAACAAACCTCGGGATTCCCGGGACAAGCCAAGCCACCCCCGGTGCATTTGCACACCGAAAAAAAGACAGCAGCCCGTCCGCTAGGTTTTGGGAGAGTCCGGATACTTTAGCCCAGCTGGAAGTGGTGAGACAGTGGATCGGGAAGCACTACAAAAAGGTAGTTAGCCGACCAGGAAGCTAAGCAAGATGCTAGCCGCTCCCCCTCCCTGTTAGCAAGCCCAGTGGGTTACAGCGTAAACATACGGTTACGTGTTCACACTGGCTGTCTAGATATAGAGAAATTAAGTCAGCGGACCCTGCACAAAAGGAAAGATATACAAACGTGAAGTGCAAATCTAGCGCAGTCGTATCACATGTAAATACAGCCCTAAGCTTGTGTATATAATAGAGTATTGAGTGGCACGATAAATAAAAATTCTACTCCTATCTAATTTCAAACCCTCTCTATTTGTTAGTATGTTCTGGCGGATGCCCCATCTTGCCAGGTCCTGGCTGCAGTCACCCTGCAGCTTCTCCAGTTCCAAGAGGATGCATTTGGCCGACAAGCTACCAGCCCTGCACTCACCAAGCTGCCTGTGAGTCTATCTCTCACTGTCTATCTAATTGTCGTCACAAGTGACTTTAAAATGCCTGATAGAATTGGCTTGTAAGTCGCTGTAAGTGCCTCACTTTGTAGTGTACTTTCACTATTAAAGTAGTAGTAGACTGATTATTGATTGATGAGTTTAAAACTGTGGAAGCAAATGCTTGCCTCTAAGTATGCGTGACACTTAATAGTGAAGAGGATTAAAAACAACAACAACACCCAAATAATGAAAGTTGTTCATGTTCATGTCCATGACCCAAACCCACAAGAAAACCTTGTTGATTTCTCTACAGGCACAGTGCTTCCTTGACTTGCGACCAGGTGATGGACTCTGCCACATTCTTGGCACAGCTTACAAGTTCAAGTTTGATCAGGGCTGGTGGGTAGTTTCCTAATATGATCCCTAACAGATCTCATTTGCTTCCACCTGTGTCCTTAATATCTCTTTGTTCTCTACCTATTTTCACACAGGCGAAGGTTTGACTTACAGAATCCATCAAGGACTGAGAGGAACGTGGAGATGTTTGGTACAATTGAAAAAGCACTGATCCAGGTGAAAACTGCAAATCTCAATACACACAACTGCACACACATACACACCAAGGACTGTTCCTTCACGAACTTGAATATTTGTCACAACAGAACAACTGCATGTCATTGCCTGTCGTATATCTGGACCCTACACTGGATCAGGATCTGGTCGGCAGACTAACTGGCATCATCACCAGACATCAGGTAAAGTACTGCAAATAAGTAGAAGATTATTTGTAGCTCAGAGTGAGACTAAATGTATGTAGCTCTGATACAGTAGTTGGATTTCAGTGCTACTGATTCACAGTTTGTCCCCCTGCAGGGTACTGTTACAGAGGACAGAACGCTTGCCAGTCATCACATATACCCCTGCCCTCCCTCGACAGAGGAAGGTTAGTTAAAGTTTGTATGTGTATATGTGTTTGCTGATGTTATGATGCCTACCACTTAGCTTAAATACATTTTGTATACACATCTGTTTTTAGATGAATGGATGCGTCCTGTCATGCGGAAAGACAAGCATGTCTTGGTACACTGGGGCATGCACCCTGACAGGTAAAGCAAGCACAAACACACACACAACACTTGACCAGCATGAAGTGACAACGTCTCTTGTCTCTTACAGTTATGATAGTTGGCTGTCATCGAGTGATGTTGAGGGAGAGGTTGAAGAGCTGCCACATCCAGAAAGGCCCTGGAGGGTTAGTGTGGCACCACATACATCACGCTGTCAGGAGTTAGTTACTGCTGCAGTTACTGAGTGATGTTTGTCTTCAGTTTTCTTTGTCAGACAGAATGTGATTGTCAGCGGGGACATTAAGGAACCACGCGTACTATAAATAATAGATGATTTTATATAATGTCTAAAAAATTTACAGAAATTTTACAGCTGACTGAATCCTATTCATTTAGCATGCTCTGTATTCCTTTCTTACACTTGATGAGATACCGAAGTATGCATCACTCATTAATATTCAATTTGTGTGGGTGTGTGTGTGTGCGTGCATGTTCTCCAGGTCCATGCTGGTTGGATTCTGGACACGGATGTTTTCAACGAATGGATGAATGAGGAAGACTACTGTGTGGACGAAAGGAATGTGCCAGTCATCCTCCGGCAGCGTATTCACCTCCAAGACGACCAGGTTTGTGTGAAGTAGTAAAAAATGGCACTGGTCTGTAGGCTTAGGAAGGAGTTCCCCTGTTATTAATGCATGCTTACGTTTTAACAGTTTAATCAACTGCAAAAAGCAGGTGTGATCCTGTTGTGTGATTCTTTTGTTCTCAGAATTATAAGCAGACACGCTTCTTTTCCCATTTCAGACAATTCTCCTAGAGATGAAAAACAGCTGTCAGACACAAAGTTGCAAATCCTGCTCTTTTGTTTCAAAATAGTCTCTATTCCATTTTTAGTTTTTCTCCATCTGCCTTTAACTTTTTGTTACAGGATCCAAAGTCTACACCCTCCAAAAAGAGAAGGCGCTCCCCGTCCCCTCCCTCCTCTGAAGGCAGGAAGAAAGGAAAGAAAGGGTAAGACATAGGTGTTTCTTTTAATACGGGGCTGTGCTTTTGGGTTGTCACAAAAGGTATCACTGTTGATTTGTGTGCTCACACACAGGAGAAGGCGTGGACAACAGGACGAGGAGCCAGAAGAGGACCTGACCAAAGACATGGAAGACCCGATTCCTGTGCCTAACATGGAGGAGGTCATACTACCCAAGAATGGTGAAACTCTTGAAGACAGTGTCCAAAACTCATTAAAAATGTGTACATTTCCTCTAAAGTGTTTAAATGTGTTTAATATTTTCTTATCCGATCTATGTAGTCAACCTTAAGAAGGACAGTGAGAACACTCCAGTGAAAGGAGGGATCATGGCTGACCTAGGTAGGCATGCTTGTGCCATCGTAAATGCATACAGAGAAGTCTTGAAACATTAAAATAAATTTTTTTAAATATGTCATTCGTATGTTTATGTGTGATTTTTGTTTTTTTTACATCCTTGTAACCACTGTCTTTTTTTCAGATGACCAGGAGGATGATTTCCCAGGACGGGTAAATATGATGTCATTTCTCTCACTTAAAACTTTTCTAATTGTAGGAATTTTGGGTTTAGTTTCCAGATTTGCAAAAAGTAATATTTCTCTGTGTATTGCTCATCTCTATTTAGGAAGATGAGGATGGAAGAGCAGAGATCCCACGCCTATCAGAGGGAGAGGAAAACATCACAGAACAAACACATCACATAATAATACCGAGCTACACATCATGGTTCAATTACAACTGGTAAGAATATGTATTTGCATTTACCTGTATGCTGAACCTCTTAATTTTATTCAAAAGACCTAAAAGCTCCCTGTGCATCTTGTCCAGCATTCACTCGATAGAGAAACGTGCACTCCCTGAATTCTTCAATGGGAAGAACAAGTCAAAAACTCCTGAAATGTGAGTACTGCTGATGTTTAGACTTTACCGCTATTACAGATGATCGAGAAGGCCTCAGTATAGCTTTCTTTACACCTTCGCAGCTACCTGGCATATCGTAACTTCATGATCGACACATACCGGCTGAACCCCCAGGAATACCTCAGTTCAACATCCTGTAGACGCAACCTGACTGGAGACGTTTGTGCCCTCATAAGGTATAACTTTGTGCGTGTGGGTGTTTGCTGTCATGTGTGTCTGCTGCATCTGCTAAATTAGGTTTAGTGTGTAGGTGTTCATCTGTGAATGTGTTAGTAAATGAAATCTGTTAATGCTGGAAAGGAGCAGTAGGTGGTATATGTGTCGTTAATGATTCTGTAGTTAATAAGTATTTGTGTCTAAAACATGTTGAGTTTGTTAATGTATTTACATGTGTTTGAGCTATGGGGGCTGTTCCAGCTACAGCAGATTAGAATTAATATGAAACAAATGTTTGTGTCCAGGGTTCATGCATTCTTGGAGCAGTGGGGTTTGATTAACTACCAAGTGGATGCAGAGAGCAGGCCTCTCCCTATGGGACCTCCACCCACCCCTCACTTCAACGTACTCGCTGACACGCCATCTGGGCTGGCCCCCCTGCAACACAAACCGCTACAGGTTTGTCGTGATGCTGTTGCGCAAAGCTCTCAGCACAGACAAGTTTAAAACGCAGTTTTTGTCATGTGAAACATCTTCTGACAAACTCTTACTTATTTCCGCAGGTGTCAGCTTCACAGCACATGTTGTATTTCCCAGAAAAGAGCAGAGAGAAACCTTCAGACTGCCAAAACTTTGGTCTGCGTACTGACATCTATGCCAAGAAACACCCTAAGGTCTTACACTGTTAATACAAAAAGTTAAAAAAATAGTTTATAATGGTGCTTACAGTAAAGAGCAACTACAGCTCAGTACAAGTCTTGATCCAGTTTTCATTTCTTTATGTTGTGCTTCCATGGTGCCAAGTCTTGAGAAATAGTTCTCCAGACTTTCTGTCCAAAGTTCTCTTTGGAAAGTGGATACTTTTTCAACAATTTTCAGTCTCTTACCTGATTATTTTTAGAGCATTTTAAGGCACTTAAACCACTTGACATATGAATAATAAAAAGGCACCAAACTCATGGGATGAACCAGTGTTGTGTCTGACACAACCAGTATCTTCAGGCACTTTGTGTCTTGCAGCCTGACGCAAAAATACAGAATTTGTTTTCATTTCTTTAGTCGAATCTGTGAAAAATGCTAAAGTTAACACAGCTTGAC